AACAATTGAAAGTCGATATTCAAATGTTTCAAATTAAAAAAAAAAAAATTACTGAAACCATTTGAAAAAAGTTTCATTCGAAAACCTCAAACCATGAAGATTCTATGAAAATTCAAAGAACCTATTGCAATAAAACGGCAATTTCATACTTTAACCCCTAATATACTATAATATCAACTACGCGATTTGTTGTACATTACTTATTTATATATATTTTTGGTACATTTTATTCTTATTATTGTTGACATTAAATTGACAATGATAAATACTTGTGCTTGTTAAAATATTTTATTCGTCAAAGAACTAAAGTAATTTTAATAATCACTTAATCTTACAAAATAAAAGTACAAGCAAAAATAAAAATTGTTAAGTTGAAAATTAAGAACGCATCCGAATATAAACTTTTTGTTTTGAATAGAAAATCCTAGGATGGAAAAAAAAAACTGATGTTAATAGTTCAACTGTTTTTCTTTCATTCATTTTCCTCGCTATAGTGAGGTGAAAAGTTGTGTGTTTCGCTCGGCAGCAAAGTTATTTTGAGTCTCGTGTCTTGAAACCCTCGCTACGCTCAGGATTCTATTTGTTAATTCAATCTTAGCCTTCGTCGTTTGCTCAAGTTTCAATACAATCAAAAAAAACAAACAACTTTGCAAAGTTTGCCTTGCATACCAAATAAATATTATAATAATTTATTTCATACTATTTTGTAGAACCTTTGAATTGGTGACTACTTCTAGCCGCATCTTACGACCAGTTTGGTGTAACATCACACTGTAGTACCAACACAACTTCAATAGCTGACTGGGATAAATACATGTTTAATCACAGTTAATAATTAACTTTATACCATGTCTTAATTTAAACAATAAATGAAATCTAATAAACAACATGTTTTTCTATCACGTGCCACACATCCTGAAAATGGCATACATTGCCTGTGTATTTTAACTTATTGTCTAATAAATAAAATGTAATTAGTTGTATTCGTATTTTTTAATGTCGACGTTTCCAAATTTCATTACTATGTTATAAGTTTCACTTCACAATTTCATTACTATGTTATAAGTGAAACTTATAACATAGTAATGAAATTTCGAACGACGTTTCGAAACAAATCAAAAACCTTGTAAGTATTATTATTATTTCCTTAGGCTGCCTTTCCACCGGAGATGTGCGAGGTATCGAGGCGGTGCGAGGATGTGTAGCGGCGCTGTGAAACGGTGTGATGTTTTCCACCAAAGCTGTGCGAGGATGCATTACGAACTCTTTTCAGCTAAGCGCGGGAGGGGTACGGTGTGGTGGGGTGAGCGGTGGCGATATGTCAGTGTCATTTGGTTTCATACTTTCAGTAGCTCTAGTTTCCAATACCGTATTGCACACATTCCTCGCCCGCAATCCTCGCACACATCTCTCGCACACATTTCTCGCTATTTTGTATGTACAAATACTTAGCTCCGCTAACTCTTTCCACCGAAGCTGCGCGACGCCAGGTAAATGAAGTAATCCTATTGGTGGATTTTATCCTCGGACACTGCTTTGCTACTCTACTCGTACTCTGACGGAAAGGCAGCCTATGGTCGCCACTAGGCTTAGGTCAGTGTCAGTTTCGATGAATGTTGTTAGTTAATACTGTTTTTTTTTCCATTCTCTAAGATCAGATAATTGTTCAAAAACGCCAACGTGTAGGTGGCAGCAAGGTATTTATTTTCAGATGAATCTCTTCGACAGAATGCTGTTGTGGAATCCGTGTAAGTAACGTTTCGCTTACTGCGAAAAGGCAATAAAAAAGACGGTTTTTCTTGTTACGTCATTTTAAGGAAAAGGCAAAGTTTATAACTATACAGCCATGTCTTGATGAATATATATAAATATATTATGTTCAACTGCGCAAAGTTCTGAATACTCGGATTCTGAAGAATGCTTTTAATAAGGCCGCCAAGAAGTGCAAAAACGTGTTACGTAAGGCCAAGTTCGACCATGTACGCTGCATTGGAGCCAAGCTTGCCTCTTATCCCCTAGCTAAAGCGATCGAAACTAACTTTTGTCGCCCATCTTTATCACCTCTGCTGAAGCCGGACAGCTCGCTGGTCTATGGGCAAAAAGATGCGCCTTCCCTTCTGCAGCATACTGCTATACGCCTCACTCTTACACACGACCGCGTTTGAATTCTGCAAACCAGCCATAGTCGTCTTGCATGGTGCCTCATCGCCAAAACCAGTTTGAAGCCAAGCGAAGCTCCGCTGAGCTGTTCGATTCTACTTAAAGTCGAAGAAAATCATACTACGAAAATTTCCACGAGTTAAATCCATGGCGATGTAGACAACCAATTTCTACAATGACGCAACAATGTAATAACTAGTGGCAGCCAGATGAAACTGTATTTATACAGCCAAAGAATTCCATTTTCAAATGGTGTAATTACTTTTTAAATATTGTTTATGTAAGTGGCTAGTTCCGGAAACTTATAGTGCGCCCTATGTATAGTTCACGTAGGGATAGATATCCTCGTCTCGAATACCTTCGTTTGCCAGCCTGATTGTAAATATTTTTATTGATACATGATTATAAATATTTTTACCGACATAGAAAATTTACAAATTAAATGAACTTTAATTTGTTTTCCAACATTTATTGATTTGAACAACTGTGTTATTAAGACAGAAAAAAATACTTACTAGAAAGTAAGTATTTTTTTCTGTCATTTTCTCTGTGTAATTTTGATGATAAGATACAAATTTGGTGAACACAGATAAATCACCAAAATCACCAAAATTGTGTCACCAAAACTGGAAAATTAGCAAAAAGTTATTTTAAAAAACACACTATCTAAATTAGGGCATCATTAACTATAACATATCAAAGGTACCCAAAATCAACATTCAAAGTGCACACTGCATTATTTGAAACCTTATTTGTTTCCTCGGTAAAATGATCACAAAAATTGTTCAGTTTTGGCCCCCATGTCACCAAGTGCGTACTTACCTTTTTGGCGGGAAAAGCAGCACGATCCCCGCATAACCGATCCCACTGAGTATTAGCACGATCCTGGAGGGGGCGGGAGGTAGTGATTGGAAAGTTCTCCAAAGCCATAGACAACCTCCTTATTTGCTAGTGAGCATTTAAAATTGTTCACCAAAATTAGGCTCTTCCCGCAGACAATTATTCTCAATCTATACCATATTACTTTATATTAGACCGTTTAATTAGTAATTTATTTAATTACAGACTACCCAATATTCACTGAGAATGCGGGTGTACCAGTATTTTTTCAAAACATGGTTCGATTATTTTTTTCGATCATCAAAACAAGTTTCAGACTTAGGTTGTGGACGCGTCACCAAAATTAGAAATCGGTACTAAAAAAAAAATTATAAATATATTATAACGTCGACGTAGGAATTTTTCTTTAGTGGCTCCAGGTGAAGATTTAGGTATACTTGACTACAAAAAATATATATATCTATTTTGGCAACTTATACTACGACTTTCGACCACGCCGCGCAAAAATCACAGCTGGGAAAATCACTCTTAACATTAAAAAAAAATCGTAATCGAGGTTTTTTTATCGAGCATAATATATCACGGAAATGTAAACTCATTCGATAACAGCTTAGACCACGAAGAAAAAAAAACAGTGGAAGTGCTAAGGCACTATCAGAAGCCTCGATTACTATCAGAACCGATGTCGCCAAAACTCACATTCTTAACTTTAAACACAAAACAAATTCAGTATCATATCGGTATAAATTTTCAAAGAGGATCGCATACGCGTCCGCCATGTTGAACGTTTCACAACCCACTAAACGATTTGCAGCGTCTTCACCGCACGCCAGTGAAACACAACGTGTGTATGGACCGCCGCATATAGTACACTAGTACATAGATATCATTGCTTACGTAGCATTAGAAAAATTACAATCATTCAATTAAATTTTTGAAGAAAAATGTTCACAAAACCTGCTCGTTTGTTTATGAACCTTATTTTATTTTTTTAAGAAAACGAAGTAAATTTAAGTAGAACTGCTAGAATCGCTAGTAGACTCCTTGGTTAGCGGTCATTCACCGCCAGGAAATGAAATGACAATTTTTATTTGTCAAGTGATACAGGCAACCAATTGTACAATAGCCTTGCAAAATAATAAGCGTGCATTTCTTAACCTCCACAATCAAGATTTATTATAATTACGTTCAAATGTATACTTGATTCAAACATAAAATGTAGATGAAAGTTTGTTAGTGTGTTTTTGTGTTACGTTACTATGTAACACAAAAACAACCTAGAGCCATTCCTATGTTCACACAACACCAACAACAATGATCAAGCAAACCAAGAAGGTACTATTTAACAATTTGAATTACACCCAGAGACGGATCAAGGTAACCCTTATCGGTATTTCAACACCTGCAATGTTGAAACATGTTACCGGTACATTGTAAATTCTTCCTTATTTTTTTGTGCCCATTTGTTTTTGCACGCTCTTATACGAATGTTACCTCTTTCTGTGTCTTATTACTTATTATCAGAATTTTACTGAGAGTATTCACAAAGATCCTACGATAGTATCAAAAGTAGTTCTTTCTCTGCTGTTCATTAAACAAAACGCGGCTAAGAGACGAGTGGTCAAACATCCGTTTTTAAATAGCATAAGGCAGAGCTCCAAATTCTCTATTAAGAAACAGTGAAAGTTATTTAACGAGTCTGACATGTCGGAACTTACCCTAATTATATACATAGCTAATATATCATTAAACAATTTCAATTGTCTAAAACTAGTTTATGCTCTTTTATGATATTTCAAAAATCCTTTTGTCACATAGCCGCGTTTTGGTTAACGTACGCAGTTCACAGAGTTCAACATCTACAACGCCTCTGTACTTTACATCCGTCTGGTTAACCCATCTGGTTAACGCAACCGCCGATGTGATTAACTCAGTCATTGTCATTTTCTTTTAATTTTTTTCAAGGTCAATTTTGCATACGTGGTTCCACCTACAAGGCAAAAAGTTCATCAACCCGTATTAGAGAAAATTAAAGGAAAAAGAGGAGATAAAGGTTTGTTTTTTTTCCCGTTGTTGTCTAGAAAGCGAAGTTTTCTTGTAGTAGGGTATTACTGTCATCTTACCTATTTCTGCCGCTGAGCAGAAATGTAATGTCAGCATTACTGTGTTCCGGTTTTGAAGGGTAAGGGTGCTGGTGAAATTACAGGCGCATGGGACTTGTCAACTTATATCTCAGGATGACGAGTGCAGTGGCAGTGCATCTCAGATCTTTGTGATTAAAGCCCTGAGTGGCACTGCAACTGTTATGGACAGGCGTGTAGCTTACCATCAGGCACACGATTTGTTCGTCCCGTCATTTGATATTACAAAAAAAGTTGCTAATATTTTTTGTACTAACGTTATTTAGAAAAAATAATGTTATCGCGGTTAATTCCGATTATTCCCTCTATTTCTGTTGACAGAACTACTGACATCTTTCTTGTCATTTGTTCTGTTAATAAATAGATAAGTGCTCTTCACAGAACTATTGAAGATTTTTCTTATCCGCTAGTTCTGTGAATGACTAAGTTTTCAATCTAGCGTTATGCCTTTAAATGATTGCTTGATTAAAATGTTATCAATAACGTTTTCAAGATTTTTGAAAGGCATCTTTCAATTGGGCGTTTCTCCGATATCGTGCAAATCGTAAGTTCGATAAAATATGTACAATATTAAGTAAGATTTTTTTTCTACAGGGTTATTACTAACATTCATAAACACAATTTTTGTTCCAAAGCAAAGTCATCAAATTTGCTTCAAGGCAGAGAAATGGTATTAAAAAATATTAGAGAAATGTTAAAAAAATTCTCGTTTATAATAGTAATGTTTTAATCTGCAGATGTATTTATCCCTGCAAAAACTGTTACGAGGTTACCAACAAAACAAAATACGGGAAAATGCAACTCGCAGTGTGCATCTACAAAACAGTTTATTCGATATGAATATTGTACAAAGAGACAGGAAAATCGAAAACATGATGATAAATTTCAAACGACACGCGTAGCTAAAAATGAATCCCTTCAATCAAAATCTTATCCAATGAGATTGCAATCGAAACATGTATGTAAATACCGGACATCATCAACAGTATCAGACGAATACATTCATTCAAAATCATGTCCATTGAGATCAGAAGCATCAGAAAGGCAAATTGCGTGTTATTCACCAGTTAGTGAAGACAAAGTCTTGTCTTCAGGAAGTGGTTTAATATATTGTCCAAAGAGGGCGCAATCAAAACAACACCTCAGTAAACGACGTATCACGTCGGGAATTCGTGACTCTGTAACATGTCCGACGAGGATACAAAGAAATTTGAAATGTTCTTCGACAACTTCCAAATCAGTCCATTCTGAATCTCATCGTTCAACGAGATCGAGGGCAATAGAAAAAATAATAAAAAGAGATTACATATCACGTTCCTCACAAAGTTACGCTAAAGTTTGTAAATTGAGATTGCCATCCAAGAAAGAAACACAAATAAAATATCAGGCATCGCGCACTTTGGTTAGAACTTTACACAATAAATAAATACAGTTGTTGGGTTGGGTATTTTAATATATTTACACGTTAACCCTCTTTTGCAGAAACATCGGGATCACGCAAACAAGATAACTGCAGAACTTCATATAAAAAAAGAATGTTTTGAGTAAGTGTTACAGTAAGTGTACATGCCTTGTCTTGTGTACGAATCACACAAGGCTTTTTGGCAGTGTCTCTACAACAACAACTTATTGTTGGCAAGGTATTTGATTGGAGTAAGCTACACGTTAATAACGATGATGTTTTGAAAAATAGCCAGGTTAAAAGTAACAAGAATAAACGGGTTTGTTTGGAAAGACTGTTGCGAGAGAGGTACGTCAGAAGTGTAGTGGGTGGAGGTCTCTAGTCTTTGCCTGCTCTAGCGTAACTCAGACTGACACAAATAACACGTCAGCACGATTGCTTGCTTGCTATTGTTGATCAATCGTCAGATCGTTCTGGTGTTAATCGGTTATTAATGCGCTCAACTCACAGAACAATAAATACTGGTAGAAGTGGTTAGTTTTCATCGCGCTTGTGACCACAATATGGACAGTTGTCCATATTTGAGGTCAGTCCGCCGTTTTCCCTTTGTACGTTATGGGTTTATTGTACTGTTTCGGAGTGCAAGAATGATAGGCGCACCAAAAATATTACCCGTGGTCATTGACTTACAAATAAATGGACGACGGGTCTAATACAAAAACCACGAAAAAAATGTCCCAAGTCAACCTATTTAAACGTAGTGACATGTAAAGGAATATGAAAAAGCTAAAACGTTGAATTTAAATTGTAATGTCATCGCAGTACTGTCTAATTTTGCTTGCTTCGCTGTCAGTCGACACTTTTTAGCGCGGCCTCGACGTCCATATAATTGTAAGTCAATGCCCGTGGTGGTGTTTTATAGCATCGCGAAGTCTTGTTTTAATAACTTTTCCATTTTCTGTCATCGAAAGTAAACATTATCCCAATGCAATATGGTCGAATTTTATCTTTTGGAGAAATAGGTAAAGATCTCGATTTTCCACGCTAGTAGCGAACAAAAGCTTGGCGAAAAAAATACTTCATATGTGTTTTGTTAATTTTAAACTTATGTGGCCCAAATGAAGTTGATTATGCAGCATGTGCGTTAAAGAAGACATCTATTGTCTACAAGATACTACATTCTATACAATTCGATGTTAGTCGTTCGTTGTAGTCCAGCTATTAGCCGCAAGATGGCAGCACGTTAGCAAAGGTCAACTTTCAACGATAGAACTACTGAGCAAGTATAATTTCTTACATTTTGTAAAATAGAAGCTTCAATCAAGATTTTATAGTGTTTATCATTTGTTTGTGTGTTTGAGCGTCAGCGGTTCTGATAGTAATCGAGGCTTAACGCACTTTCATTGAGTTTTTTTTCGGTGATTCAACTCCACATAATTGTATCAAAAGTAAAGACGATGTCACCAAAATGGTTAATGATCAATTTATCTTAGTAACCGTAGCATAGTAAACTTTCAACTGTGTAATAACTGATAATTGTGTAATGTACAAACTAGATACGACCCCAAAAAACGGGTCAAGTGTCTTGATAGCCTTGTGAATTCCCGCAACTACCGTCTCGTATATACATAGTTTGTACATTATGCAATTGACATTAAATATGTCAAATTAATATGATAAATAAATTGACGTAAATATGATATATGGTATGTAAAATTTCAGGAACCAGGTGAGCAAAAACTTATAAAACATTTATGAGTTACCATACGATAGGACAGGGGTGTATTGAGTGAGCGGCGGGGACGAAGGCGAACGCAGTTCGTTGCTCGCCTAATTCCCTAGTGAGACCAGCGGATAAGAGACGGGGATCCCTTGCCCACATTGCACGGTCTCACCCGTCTGGGGAGATGGGTTAAGCGTCCGACTCTCACTTCTTTGGCGCGGGAACTTTGGCAAAAGCTAAGGTTGCCGGGGGCGTCGTTATGGTCGGATCCCACGGCGCCCAGAAGACCCGGCCAAGAGCGTGCGCCAGGGGATTTTTAGTGGGTATGCCCTTCATCGGAGGGTCAGTCCCATATAGCCCTCAAGCCACTCCGGGCTCGAGGGTATGCATAAAGCATTTTCCTCCGTTAAAAAAAAGTGTATTGAGTGAAAGTAGCAATGAAGTTCCATTTAATGATGTCTTCGGTAAATGAAAAAAATGTATGGATGTCGGTGGCTAGCCCCGAGCTGCCATTTGACTATCATCGCATTTTTTTGATATCCCGCTCTTCAATGGCGAGTTAATGACACTTCGATACTATAGTCTACTAATATTATACATTTCATTGAAGATTATGTTGCTCATTAAAACGAGATAAAAGTTTTTTTTTATCTTTATTTATTTAGGGCTTTGATCGTTATTGAACATGGTGATTTTGCAGGCACATGAGACATGTCAACTTATGTCTCAGGGTGACGGGCGCAATGGCAGTACCCCTCGGATCTTTGCGACTTAAAGCTCTGTGGACACTGCAATTGTTATAAACAGGCGTGTAGCTTAGCATCAAGTGCACGACTTGTTCGTCCCGTAACTTGATATTATAAAAAAAAGTCAGCCCCATTAGTAAAATGGTACATCAAGAAAACACTTAATAAAATCCAGACAGATAATTCAAAATGCTACCTAACTAAACATGTATACAAAATCTCCGCGGCACTACATGGTGGCTCCGACAAAACAGATTGAAACCACCCAACATTAAATATACGGAAACGGATAGGTTCCCTCCGAACACACTCCATGAGCAAATGATGTACATCCTCAGGAATCAAGTTCACCCTCCGCATCAAATACAAAAATTTGTTTAATGGAACGTGTTCGGATCGAAGCCTATGCGCGCTGACAGTTTGACACCTGCTTAACTTAACATGGTCAAACCAAGGGACAAAAGATATAAATTAAGATACGCATAGCATATATAATTAAACTAACTCACGTGTTTAAGTCGAATTTTTTCTCGACATGTTTTGAATTACTCCGTGGTCCTTGATCATGAGATTCCACGGCAATGTGTCTACGGAAATTGCGCGCCAAAACCCTGGCAGTCCGATTACTCAGTAAGTACGGCTGCGGGCGCAGGCGGCGTCAGCGAGCAACTACCCTCGTTTACTTAATAAAGTCATACGCAGGACTCTACACCACAGATTACTTAATAGTTACTACGTAACAGACACATTCCTCTCATACAAAATCGAAAATACCTACGCTATAATAGCCTACTAAATTTGACTAATGACACCAAGTGCTCATTACGAGGGAAAAGGAACCGAAGCGCGCGCTCAGAGAGGTGAAAATAACTCGCCAGCCCGCAGTGTGCAGTCGTACGAAGCCGAATGTTCATAAATGAAAGAACGGTATGAGAGCTTGCGCCGACGTCAGCAGCAGACACTTATAGCATAAGTTTGAGCGAGTGAGGGAGCCCTGACTACACTAACAACGTCACATTCTAAAGTGTCACCCACGCTAACCATTGACGTACTACCTAACACTGTTATCCAGCCGGGGGGTACCGACCCTCAACTATCACGATTGAAATCCGAATGGCGATCAATCTCGATAGCTTCTTTCTGCGGAATGAAATGCTTTTCTCTCGTCAGTACGGACACTTTAGCGCATTGGCGCGCAATTTCCGTCCGAGTAACCACTGCGGTATCTCATGAATAAGGACCACGGGCTGGTCCGAAACAAGTCGAGCAAAAATTCGACTTAAATATGTGAGTTATCTGTTAGTTTAGTTAATGTCTGAGGCTCACAGTGGTTTTCTATTTAAAATATGCATAGCAATTGTTGTAGTAGTTTTGGTAAGGTAACATCGATCGTTTGTGATTGAACGAATGAAAGTCGAATGCTGACTCTAAAATAGAACTTGGACACACTCTACTCCGACAATATCAAACTGCAAACAAACGAAGGGGTGCACAAATGTGTCCTCCATTAAAATGTCGCACCGCATGGGCCAAACAACAATACAATGCTCTAAGCTGTAGCTTATATAATAGAATGAACAAACTAAGTCCGATTTACTCCCTACCGAAACACACACTTAAAAAAGTACTTCAAGAATTACTTTTAACACTAAATTACAATGACATAGAAAATATGTTAAAATGAAGAAAACCACATCATTCCATTCACTCCACACACTTACACCCAAAACACACTTCAATTAATACACACTACAATAATTACAAGGTAAAACTCTTATTACAGTACACTTATTTCAATACACTTATTTACGTATACTTATTTGCTACTGAAGCTATTCGTGTGTACTATTTAAGCACTCAATGTTGAAGGAATCACTAACTCCTAAGATACAGGATTACCTAGTTTAGGAGTTAGGGAATCACAAATATTGGCATTTCTTTACTATATTTTTATGTTTCTTTTTATGTTGTGCCTTGTAATGCCATTGTATTTCATTTTTCTTTGATCAATAAATTATTATTATTATTATTATTATCTTACTTCGACATTACTATACTCAGACACTACGCTACTTCGGCAACACAGACGAGATGTTTCTTAAAAAAATATTTGTACTCGGATAAGAAAAACCGTCATTACAGATCTATGTAGGAAATGGTTTTGTTCGCGCCGATGCTAAGGTAGACGGCGCTTAGGTTTAAGTTCACCTACCCTCATTTCCCTTTACCATTTCCTTCCATTTCATTTACCACCTTCTTACTCTGCTGCAACTGGACTACCGTTCGTGTTTAGAACAGTCTTCAACTAACCGTCCTGGGTAACGTGCGTCCGCCTTGGACTAGCCATCGACGCTCGCTTAGCTCTGTGGATTCACCGCCATGTTGAACTAACGTACTCTGCGTAGTTTCCCTTATTTCTTATTTCGCCGTGTGTGAAATACCGCTGTTTTTTGAACTCTTTGTGTGTGTTATTATTGTACTGTACTTTTAAACGGTGATAAAGCAAGTGATAGTAACTGGTAGTCACCTTTGACCGCCACCACATCAACGGAACCGCCTCGAGTACCACTTCATTTATCGGAGACATTTAGACGCCTGCTGGAAGTAAAGGAAGAGCGACTACGTACGACTACGAAAACCACCTCTAAGGTCAGTGCAGCATAGTTCAGTTGCACAGCACTCCCTTTACCTACCAATTCGTCTCTCTCCAGACATTCTTTCTTCATACAGTCCACATCTGCCACTCTTCTTAAACGAACCATCCAACCCGCTCGTATTCGGCGCGTACAGTCATATAGTTTGACTGCCGCACTGGTACAGGTTTTTTATTATATATCGATTAATATAACAAAAAAAATCATATAATCGAAATTTTTTTTTAATTACTTGTATAAAGTGTAACAAAAAACATTAAATTAAAATATAATAAAATACACTATTTCATGTATTAATTTTTTTATGGAGGTTCTAAAACAACCCAATATGGTCGGTGTTTTGTAGAAAGGCGAAAGCGCCATTTTGAAAAAAAATTCCGGGAGCGTGTTTTAGTTTTTCACGACTGTTTTAATATATTTACGTTCTGTTTTAAATTAAATTTTAAAACTTTACTTAATTGAATCCAAAATTTAATTTGAAATTGTCGTTAAAACTTAAAACATGCACCTCATATTTTTTTTTAAATGGCGTTTTCGTTTTCGTTTTTCCTTTCTACAAAACACCGACACGAATGTACCCGAGGTAGCTGTTCGGTGGGTGTTGTGGCGGCTCTACTACAAAATCATGACCAAAATTCAATGCCAAAATTCTGAAGTTTTCGTTTTTAAGTTTTTTTATGTCATATTGATCGATATATAATAAGAAACCATTTCCTATGTGGGTTTGTAATGATGATTTTTCTTATCTGAGTACAAATATTTTTTTATGAAACATCTCGTCTGTGTTCTGGAAGAAGCGTAGTATCTGAGTAAAATCATGTCGATGTAATATGTTGTTGGAGTAGCGTGTGTCGAAGTTCAGTTTTAGAGTCATGACTATATACACTCACTACCATTCCACTGACGCTCTATTGAGACTCAACTGCCATTGCAACTAGATTTTAACAGAATTACAACTATTATCATTTGCAACATGATCTCAGTGGAGTCTGAAAGGAATTACATTGACCAATGGTTTTATGAAAATACGCAGATATGGTGTCCTGACTGTTAGAATTGTTTTCGAAATACTACTGGGCAATTATTGACATTTGTGTTTGTTTGTAGTGTTTCCAAAAGGATAACCCATTATAAGAAGCTTAAACAAAAAGCAAAAGAAGCTATGAAAAACAGAAAAATATTCACTGTTAAAGGAAACAATGCGATGGCAGTAAGAAAAGCTTTGCTTGCTCGAGGCTGGGTTGAAAAACTACTTACAACTAAAAAGAATACAAAATATCTTCAAAACAACTTTAGAAAGATGTCGATCGATAAACAAGAGAGAATAGTTTTGTCCAGTTGCCTTGAAGACTGTATTCCAAGTTTCGCTTGGGGTGGATTAGACATAGACACTTCCAATGAATTACAAAACTGGGAGGAGCCTATTATTAATACTCTAGACGGCAATGATCTTTGGAGCACCAAGGATATACTATGTAAATCTCTGCAAGACTATTCCTGGTATTACATAGAAAACGTGGCGGAAGTCGATCTACCAAGGACATATAGCAGTGCCAATAGAGACGAGTTAAGAGATTTCATAACAGATTATCTTCTAACTGCTTGTACTAGTTTGTTAAAATGGATTGCATTTAATATAGATAATAATAAACCCGTATTTACAAATACTGGGACTGTTTCTGTCAATGTAATTACTTTTGCCATTAATCGGTGCAAAGAGTTTTTATTTAAGAAAGAAAATATAGACGTCGATAAAAAAATATGCAATAAACCTACAACAGGACAATGGACGTTCTTCTTAACAAAATATATGTCAATAATTTCCGGTAAAGATTTATTTGAGATAGATAAAGATCGACATATGCTCATGTTGATTGCCTACACAAAATGTTTGATGGATAGAATTGTGAAGTATAGACCGCAACTAAGTTGCGAAGGATACTACGACGCTTGGATTATCAAACCATCAGAGCTGTCTAGTGACACTGACGTTGTCGTTTCTTCAAATTTGGCTACAATACTTAATATGTTAACTAATGCAAAGGAAACATTCATTGTTCAAAAGTACATTGGTAAGAGAAATCCCGAATTGTAACAAAAATTATGACGTTGTTTTTGTTAATATATTTTGAAAAGTTTTATTTTTACAGAAACACCGTTATTGATTACCGAAAGGATATTTCATATAAAACAATATTATCTTGTAACAAGTACATATCCATTACATGTTTGGATGTACCAAGATTGTTTTTTGAAAATTGGTTTACAAAATGATAATGTCATCAATGGTGGCCTTTGTGAGCCCGTACATCTTACTGACCAAGCAGTACGAAAACTTAGCAATGGTTTTGACCCCCAATTTTCGAAAAATAATATCTGTCAATTACGAACATTCAAGAAATATTTAAAGGACATTGGAAAAGCGGAGGTTTGGGACAATGTAATAAAACCTGGTATGAAGAAAATAATTGTTGGAGTTATGCTGAGCAACCAAGAGTCTTTGAAACAATCGAAAAATCGTTTCGGTTTTCATTGTTGTGATTTCATAATCGACAATGACTTCAGACCTTGGTTGATTAAAATCAATGACTCGCCTGATTCATATCCATTGACTAATGCAAAAATTGGTGAACGAGTCGTGTCAGATGTTATCAAAGGTAAGGTACCATTAATATTTATGAATTTATGTTAAGCTATTTATTTTTCTAAATGAATGGAATGTTTCTCAATATACTAAAGTTTTTTTAAAACGAAGTATGATATAAGTAAGTAAGCCGATGCGAAGAACACATGTATCTGAAGAGATGTAGTATTGTGATCGTTCAGCGTCTACAAAGTCGTTTTAGTTGGTTATTTTTTCCTTTTAAGTGGATTTGTTTATGTGTGATTCAAAGGGTTAATATTTAAATGGATTTAGAATTATATGTCTACAAAATATAACCTGAGTCGATACTTATATAAACAACCTACTTTTGGCATGGAATTTTTGTTGGGAGAATTGAAAGCTATTGACTGACTGACTTATTGACTGTTCCGGGCTGCTGACATTCATGTCCAACTATAACGTGAATATCTAAATAGGTTTTCTTATGATTATACCCAATAAAAACGTAAAATTTGACTATTTGATAAATTCACACTCAGTTTCTTTCCTCAGTTATAATCGATCATGCTCAGAATCGTAAAGCATCAACTGGTCAATTTGAATGTGTATATCGCCAACCTATGACACAACCAATTCAAACTTGCGAAAACAGTGCGAATACTTTAGTAATAAAGGGTGTAGCTATACCCTCAAGTTCTTTATGTAAAAGTGAAGCAGTAATAAGTAAATGCAGTAAAACAGAAAATATGAAAACACCATATAACGAAGAATGTTTTTCTTTATGTAAAAGTGAAGCAGTAAAAAATAAATGCAGTGAAACAGAAAATATGAAAACACCACATAACGAAGAATGTTTATACGACATAAAGTTCAAAAAGGAAATTCATGAACAACCAATTATAAATTTGCTACAAAGATTAGACTCTTTATTTGATTTAGCTATAATGAAAAAATATTCTAATGATATTAATGTTAATCTTGATAAGAATAAGCATCCACTGGATAATGATAACCATATGGATATGACACCAGGACATAACCATATGGATGCAACCAATAAGATACAAAAAACGGCAGCAGAACCAAACTACATCAATTATTTTAAAGTACATGCAGAAAACGCAACAAGCACCTGTCAAACACAAATAAGTGCAGATTGGACGAGACAACCGAATTATGGTGATAATTTTTATATAAACCGAGGCAAAAAGGCATGTGTACAAGAAACACAAACTGATCCAATCAGGGTGATACCACCGTATTGTGATGATAATTTGTATATAAACACAAACAAACGGCCACGCACATATGATACACAAACGGATTTAAGTCTGATGATAGAACCTGGATATTATGATCTTGGTTATCACAATTTGGATGTTGACAGAGACAAGAAAACAATTTTCTACATACCTCAAACAGGATTAAATCCCAGCAAGGAACCTAATGATAACCATATAGATAGCATTTCTGATAACAGGGCCTACAAGACACAAATAGAATCGTATGCAATAACTAAATTGGATTACAAAAATCATTTGAATGTTTACCCTACAGGCGTTTCAACACTTAAACAAAATTAGTAAAGTATAAAAACAGTTTTTTTGTGACAATGGATGGTTCTAGAGAATAAAAAACGAATATCCAGTATGAATTCACTTATTTTAAGGAAAACGGAAATATTTATTATTATACAGGTGACGCTATAGCAAAAATGTCGTTTGAACCCAATAAAAGGATCTGTTGCAGGCACATAGAGAAATTCGTAAGATCTGCTGACTCGATATGTAACTTAGTTGGTAAGAGTGGTAGCCACGGTGAAGCAACAGGTTCGAGTCCAGTCGGATAGAAGGAATTTTTCTTTGTTTTTGTTCGATCTTTGTAACAATTTATGAAAAAAAAACTAGGTTTAATCTCATAGCCGAACTTTACAATATTACAATAGTCAACCAATAATTTCTTCATCAATCTACGTCCTTTCCTGTCTTGGGCAGTCCCATATCTTTCTACATAAGTTTTGTTTATAGTGATCCTCCCTATCAACCTCTTGGTTATATGGAAAGGGCTTTATAACCTGTGCAAGCGAACCCGCACACTTTCTCAATCAGTTTCTGACCCCAGATCAGCCCGTTTACTCGTACACACTTCATCCGGTTCTCAAAAAGCCAGTGCCTTGGGTGAGCTGCCCCGGGTGCTCGTACAGCACTCTCTCTATTTTACAGATAGGTACCGAAACTGTAGGCACGCTAAGCCGTTGACTCTAAATTCCAGTACCAAGTTTTCTCTTTGGTGGCGGAGCTGTAGGCACGTTCATCTCCCGACACCGAAGCGTCTCTCCTGTTCCCAGAAACCTAAGCGTCTGGAGAGGCCGGAGGACATGCAGCTCATCCTCTGCTAGATCTCCGGGCTAGTGCCAGTTGCTGTGTTCTGTCTTAGGCAGCGGAACTCAAAACAGCTGCAAAATCATTTTTTATTTTTTAGCAAATTAATTTTTTATTTTATGGTACTAAGTGTCAGGACGAACGAGTCGTGCGCTTGGTGGTAAGCCACACGCCAGTCCATTAGCATTTGCAGTGCCACTTGAGCTTTAAATTTCAAAGATTTGAGGGGCACTGTCTCTGCGCCCGTTACCCTGAGTCACAAGTTGACAAGTCTCATGTGTCTGTAATTTCCATTCCATTCCAAAACCCTTACCATTCAAAACTGGAACACAGCAATGTCTCCCTGAAAGTATTCAAGATCCTGATATCTTCAATTTTGTGATAAATTATTAGATCATCGGCGTAGAGCAAGAAATTGCAAAATTTAAAGCAGTTACTGATATCATTGATGTAAAGAATAAAAAGTAATGGTCCAAGAATAGATCCCTGAGGTACACTTGGGCTAATTCTGACAGTCTTCGACTCATAGCCTTTAATCACAATCTTTTGTGTACGATTGGATATGTATGATTTGAACCAGCGCAAAAGGTTACCATGGATACCATTAGACGCGATTTTTTCAAGTAGCCTCTTATGGTCAACCCTGTCAAATGCTTTCTGAAAATCAGTATAAACACTATCAGTTTGCTTATTTGAATCCATGTTATTAAATAAATGAGTGTGGTGTAGATAAGTAAGTTAGTTACACTGGACCTCCGTTGCACAAGGCAATGCTGCTGTGGAATAATAGTACTATGAAGTGAGGTATATATAACACGATGTACTTACTAGTCTTTCAAAGATCTTAGAGGTAAAATGGAAATAGGGCGGTAATTTTCAACATTTTGCTTAGGGCCTCCCTTGTGCACGGGCACAATACGAGCTGCTTTCCAAGCATTTGGGAATACTACTTCACTAAGACATTTGTTAAACAAAATATGTAATGGCTTGTAAATGGTTTTAGTTGTGTTTCTTAAAAAGATAGCAGGTAGGTTACCTGTACCAGGGCCTTTAGTTGTGTCTAAATTACTTAGCTGTTTTTTAATGTCATGTTCAGATATTACTATATCACATATGTTATTATCATGATTATAATTATGGTTATATTTTGAATCTAACTCTTCAATCCTAAAATTAACTGACAATTCTGAGGGAGCATAGACCGATAAGAAAAACTCTGAAAACATGTTACATATAGAAAGAGGTAACTTGCTGTTTTATTTTTGTAGGTAATCATGTTCGGTGTACTTTCTTTCGGCCTCCAACTTGACTCATACGACCAGAAATACTTAACATTCTTCCTAATACTATATTCAACTAAATTTATGTAAGCTTCATACCGCAGGTGTGATTCTATTTTAAAACGTTCTCTAAATAATGAAAAGATTTGATAATCTGAGATATTGCTGTATTTTTTCCATTTTATCCAAGCCTTATTTTTATTTTTTTAAATATGTATGAGAGATGTATTGAACCAAACAGGATATTAATTGGATTTCTATGTTTTTCAATAAGCAGGTCTTTTATTGATTTAGTAGGTTGATTGACATTAATATTATATATTTAAATATTCTCACTAGAATATGTATTTCAATATGTTATTATATTAATAACAAATAAAGCTAGAGAGGGGCGGAGAGTGATCATAATCGTTACTTTTTTATTCTCTGTTTTGGTAAAAAGTCAGATATCTACTGCATTTTTACATGGCACCGTTAGAATTAGTTTAAAATCCAACTTCGACTTCCTAGGTCAGTTTTGTCCTACGATGCAGTATAAACTATTACCGGAAATCCCGAGTACGAACAAGTAATCAATTAATTTTTGGTGGTTTAATAACCATATGTCGCTTCTTGTAGCTATATTGTACATAATATGTACATGTATCTATATCTGAAATCTCAACATATTTTGTAGTATTCTCAGAAACTAATCAGCAGATCGAGCTGGAGTTTTCTTTACTTCCAGCGGCGAGGCGTCCACATAACGTGATTCCCACCGGTTTGCCTAAAACTTTTCCACGAGTAATCAAAACATTGTACGAGACAGCGCGCATACCCCACTGCTTAAAAACTTTACTCAAAATAGTCATGAATAACCGTGTAGTAAGTGACCTGTCCTTGATAATACGGAGCTTCCCGATGGATCTTATTAACCAATCACAGTCCGAGTTGAGCCGGTAATTTTTCGACTTTCATTTCATTTATAAAAACTACGCGCGTAAGTACATCAATATTCACGCACACATTCGCACAAGTCCGATATCATGCATTGGTATATAGAAATGGCTCGCCGGTAACCCGGTAATGATGGAGTTATGATCGAATATTCACTTAAATTTAAACCTTATGAAATATAGTTGAAGGTTGATTCTTAAAGACCCGTACTAACTTGCCGCCAATATGTTTCTTAGGAAGATTGTTGCCAAATGTAACTTTTTTTACTATTATACAAATATTTAACAAATTAATTAAAAAAGGTCTATTAGTATTTTGTAAATGTTGAACGATAAATAGCGTTACAAAAATGTTTGTTTAGGTGTTTTATTTTACTATGTTTAGCCTACGTAAAGGAAAGAGAAGCTCGTGTTAATTAACAGTTTCAATTAAAAAGTAAAGTGGCAACAATTGCATTCACTTGTCGTGATTCACGCGATATGAAAGTTTGTTTACAAGTAATGAATTGTTAAAATAATGTAATGAAGTAATAAATTTTATGTTTATTACTTTATTATTTATTATTTTATATTTATTATTTTATTAAATTTTATATTTATTACTTTATTATGGAACCAGTTAAATTCATTTTACTAGTGTCTTGTCTTGTTAATAAGTGCTGTTTTAAGTTTCACCAAGGCGTCTTTTCAAGGTTTTTAACAGGTACTTAAGTTTCGAGTTCTTAGGTTTTCGCGATTGTTACACATAGGAAATGAAACTATTTTTCCGGATTTCAATCGCGTATTTTTGTTTTTTCAAACAAACCGACGTTTCGGGCCCTTTACAGGTCCCACGGTCACCACCTCAGTCAACCGTGACCATTCTGTACTATTTATTTGAAATAGGCCGCTTTAGTCCAATTGATTTATTGCTATGCAGCCTTTTACGAAAAAAAAAAGTTTTTGTTAAGGTGGGTGATTTTTTTTTAACCGGCTTTACTAACGAAAATTATCACGCCTCGCGACTGTTTACTTCAGAGTACTATTAAGGTACAAATTTTTGGAATAAGAATTTTTTATAGTTATTAAATAAATACTGGTAATCCGAGGTACACCCGCCATATTGACAGTCAATAATTCCTTTGATATTGCTATAACTTCGTTCTGATGGAGGTACAAATTTTTTAAACAGAGGTACTAAATAGTACAAAGTAGGTACATTTTTTGATACCAAATTTGTCACCGAAATCCGTTAAGGTACATCCGCCATTCTAACTCACTGCATTTAGATGTTGAAATCATAAACATTTTATTGTCTTTGTTTAACTACTGCGTGCCGTGGTAAGCCAAAAGAGATAGAACTACATTGATTTATGTCAAACACGGGAATCGAAAATACGTAACGTCATCTTACATGCCAACTGTCCTCATTTTGCCATTTTTGGAGTACCCTGTGATATCCATTTCCGGTTGTCAAATGTCAAAAGCAATGTTTGGCCAAATGTTTTAGTGAATTATTCGCATGAATTGTAATGAAATGGAAAAATATTGACAGTGAGAACAATTAAGTATTGATTAAAATGCATTGCTGCGGCATTAAGGGGTGTGGCAGTAGAAAAGGCGGAAATCAACCGAATGTTACATTATATGCTTTTTTTTGTCTATAAATCATACAATAGCCCAAATATCTCATGTAATTAGACTCATTTAAGTAGCTTATTCATAAGTCTTGCCGAATTTTGCTTTGGTTACTTTAGATTACCTATTTGTTAGTATATTTTGAAGATTGTTGATAACGATTATTTTGAGATAGTGTTGTTCTTGTAAGCAGACATATTATCGATATTCTGTTATTAAAACAATTCATTACGAGGTTTTTATTATTTCATTATTATTATTTTTATTTTTAAAGTTTACCTACAAATGAAAAAAGAAAGAAAGAATGGTTGGAAATTATAGGATTGCTGATAAACATTGGATCAAATATCACCTTCGTTTGTTCGCTCCA